ATTGTACTTCAGAAGAGGTCGTTCCAGCACTGTGTGAGTTGTTCGGAGTGCCTTCGACGTGCAACAGTGTCAAGCCACATCTCCGGTGCGTAAGAGCCTGAGAGGACGGTTGAGTTGAAGTTAGGCCCGCAGCACTGGGTCCGTCAGCCGGTATCTTCTTCTTCCGTTTTTTAGAGGCCCGAAAGCGGCTCAAGCTTTTCCTCCTGAAGAGATCTTCTTCCAAATCGTTCTCCATGTTCATCGAACGTCCGAGATATAAGTAAGAAGACGTCTCCGCGATTGGAGAGCCTTCTAGTTCTATTTTCTGATCCTCGCAAAAAGCGTTCTTCATGAACTGCGTCTTCTTCCGGTTGATTCGCAGTCCTATCAACTTCCCTACTTCGTGTAGTTCTTTCAACATTCTCCGCTTCACTGATAATCCACGAGAAAATAGCTGTCTTCCGTAAAACGAAAAATCGAAAGGAATCTCCCATCAACTCGTTTACATCTCTCATTCCAATCCAGTTTTTTCATAACCTACTGTATAGCGGTAAACAGCTTTGGCGGCACGGCAATGCCTTCTGAAACCCCCTTCGAACGTTGTATGTTAAAGGGGCGATGGAAAAGCTGTACCGTTGTAGAGGAGTTCCGGAAGCAGTCGGCCAATGTCCTCACGTAAGATGAGTTCACCTCTTGGTTGACGATCGCTGATTAGTCTGGATGCCAAACGCTTTCTCATAGTCGACGAAGGTTAGGACAAGAGATAGGAGGCACTCTTGGTTTGCGAAATCTAGCTTGTTTTACAGCTTGGGCTTCATTCAGTGTTTTATATGCGAGCGAGGATGATCTTTGTGAAGAACTTGTAAAGCACGTTCAGCAGGCATATTGGACGCTATTCCGAAAATCCTCCCTATCGCCCTTCTTATGAAGAAGGATTCGTGAGGTTCTTCACTGGTCGGAGAACCTTTCCTTTTGAAGGTGAAACGTTAGATGTTCTGCAAGTAACTCGTGTGGGCGATGTCCTCCAGCTCGTAAGAAGTCAGCCGGAGCGTGGTCCGATCTCGGATCCCTGACTATCTCTATCTAGATTGCGGCGCTTACTTCGAAAATCCGTGGTGATATTTCTCCAGTGGGAATAACGGGGTTTGACGAGCGAAAGAGATTGGTGTGGAATCTGTTCTTGATCGACTCCATCTTTTGTCACAGAGATGTGCGAGCCCCGCATTCGTTTATTGATGTTGTCAGCGGAATACGGTTGTCAAAAAGGTCCCTGTGGCACTTCTTTAAACTCCTCCTTCCTTGTGCTCCTTCCAAAATTTCGATTGCCTGTTCGAAGTCTTGCAAAGATTGTGCAACTGGTATTTTGGTATGCTACTTGCTCGAGATGTGATGCAGTCGGATCCAACATCAAAGCTCTTCTCTTTATCAGATCCTTCGTGGCTTTCGAAATTTGTTCCAAGTTCTTTGTGTGAGGCATTGAGGCACTTTCACCACGGGCTCTCATTCCTCTAAGAAGCAAGGTAGTCTTTTGTTGGGTTCTCGTCGATGGGCCAGTCACAAGTGGTCAGGAGCTCCTCCAATCTGATGCCGTCATATCATATAGGACTACTCTCCTTCCTCCAACACGGTAGCAGATCTTCTTTTGCTGAATCGCGCTTCTTCGCTTGAAGGAGGCGTGATCTAAACCGCTGCTGAAGGATTGTACCACTGAGATGTCTAGTAAGCACCACTTTTGGTTGGCGGAAATGTGGTCGATCTCCGCATGAGTCATGCCGTTGGGTGATTCCCATGTCTACAGCTTGTGTTCTTTCTTCAAGAAGGTGCAGTTTCCATGAAAAAGTTGCGCGAGAGCTCAAAAAGACAGTTACTACCCTTCCCGATCCCATGCTCTCCTTCTTCTGACATCCCAATTTTCGCATTGAAGTCACCCACGACAATCTGTAAAAGGACCTCTCTTTGCGGATGACTTCCTCCAAATCCTCATGAGAAGCATCACGTTCCGAGTCATCAGCTGCTGATGTTGGAGAATAGCAGTTGATGACAGTAATGTTTTGTGATGCAGAGGATGGGTCGAAGGATGGTCAGGCGAGGTGATAGGATCTCATGCGAATCGACAAGATGGACAACAGATGGGTTTAAGACACATCCAACGCCTCCAATTTCCGTGATGGAACTTTCTCATCACAAATGATGAGTGTGCCATCCTCACGTCTGCCTTTCTGGGCTTTTTTTCCTGTGAGGCGATCACGTGATAGTTGATGCACTCTGCAGTTTCGGAAAGGGCGTGAAGTCGG